GGAAAAAAATTACCAGTCTCTATTATTTTTCTGAAAGGCTGTTCCAAGGTCAGGAACTTTAATTAACCTTTCTAATGCTTAGAGGTAATGGCTCTCTTAATTCAGCTGAAGTCTCAGCTGGACCATATTGGGCTAATAAAGTAGGTGGCCTGGGAACAGATATCGGACACTAGAATGAAGGAAGAACATGATGATGACTGATTTTCAAAAGCAATGACTGATTTTACAAAAAAAAACCTTAGAAGACGGGAACTGGGGAAAAAAAATCTAAAGGGCTTTTCAGATCCAAAAATGTGTACTTTATTATTAAACTTTTCAACAAAATATTCTTGTAGAAATGTTTAAGATTGGACAAATGTAACGCACAAAATATAGGCATGCTCATCTGGATATCTATTTTCTTATGGTATACTATAGCTATAATCAGAATGTTTTGGTCAAATGTGTTTAGCTGTGTCCAGCTAATGAAAAACCAGGCTTAAATATTCAATTATTTAATATACTGAGTAGCTTTGGGTTAACTTGACTCATGTTAAGAGGATAACATGGGAATGGATACGGAAGAAGTATGCATCGCTGAGATATTCCTTGTAGAAAGAAGGGAGGCATGTCACATATTTGCTTGTGACCTTTGGTTTTGATATGCATCCAAACCAGAACCCTATTTATTATATTTCATTATCGAACCCCAGATAGACTCAGTACAACTAAATACAGCCAACCACAAAGTGATAATTAAAATCCAAACAGAGACGAATGAAAAACAACAAAAAATAAACACTCAGCTAACAATTAAAGTCAATCTTCAAAGGGCAACTTGAATAATAAATGTCTTTGCCTAATGGCAGAAGGATAGTGGAGAAAGAGCTAGGCCATTTTACTGTAGATGCTTGAGGTTTTTGTTATAATTCTACTGGATTTATATTGGTGCAGCAGCATAGAGGCAGTATTCCCTGATGTGAGATTGCTCATTTATTCTTGTTTAGCTTATTTAAATGGGCAAAAATAAATAAAGGTGATAGATTGGGAAATTACTGGGAGAAAATTATAGATTGATAACAATAGGAAAAATGATCATTTCCAGGACATACGCTTTTATTAAATTTTGAGTTGTGGTTTAGTTTATACACCTGGAAATGTGTGAATTATTCAAACAATTCGCATTGGGACTCTGAATTTTTACATTTGGACTGCCGTTCTGCAGTTGATATTTGTGCTTCCACAAAGAAGTTGTTCAACTTATGCTTATTGGCAGCCATAGACCAGAATATAAATAATGAGATATATCTTATCAAACCTATCCGTGCAACAGCTGAACTGATAAGATCTCTGTTATATCAGACCAAGGCTCTATTAAATCAACATTTATTTTTCCGCACTTAATCAGATGTGCGAAATGAGCAGCAGATTATTCCCCAGTACACAATTTTCAAAGATGCTTACCACTACAGAGGAAACAAAGACCCACCAGTCTACTTTTGACTCACCGAGGAATAGCTAATATATCAACAAAATTGACATAACAATCTGAGAGGTATGAAAAT